ACCATTGAAAATTACAATAAATGAATAAATGGAAGCCCATTTTAGCCCATTTTAGCCCTCTTTAGCCCTTTTTAGCCCTCTTTAGCCTTCTTTAGCCTTCTTTAGCCGTCTTTTGCTGCCTGTTTTTGCCCTCAGAACGACTTTTCCAGCTGAACCAAACTCCTCCACTCTCCATCTCCATCTGCCTCTAGGTCTGTTCATGTCAACTCTCACCGTCATCATTCTCATCGTTCGTTTCCTGATCGATACTTTCTGGATTCAGGGGGTTCACTGGAGCGCCGAGTGCGTGCCCATCTACATTCAGTTCATGGTCAAGTTTTTCATCATCGGGGTCACCGTGCTGGTGGTGGCTGTTCCTGAGGGCCTTCCTTTGGCCGTCACCATCTCCTTAGCCTACTCTGTCAAGGTAGGTCCTTTTGAGACGGTTTATAATATAATATATAATACATATAACAATATATAACCAAAACACTTCACTTTTCTGGTATCCAAGAGAGCATTTCATCCCCATCCTCAACCACATGTTGACCAGAGATGTAGAAAGTTCTGGAGTAGAAGTACAAGTACTGGATAAAAATATTGACTTGAGTAGAAGTTGAAGAGTTCTTTCAACATCAGATTTAAGTGGAAGTACGGAAGTATTAGTATTAGTATACTCCTTTTTTTGTACTTAAGTATTGCAAATAGAAGTATTTAAAAAATTACTACTCAAGTATAAGTAAAAGTGCAAGTACTGTGTATATTAAAAAAGGCAGTCAAAAGTGTGATGGATATTGTTTATATTATTTTAAACGTGTGAAAGGCCATACAACTACAAAGCGTCCCCGAAGAGGAATGAAATGCATCCCATTTCCCTAATGTGTCATTGTTATACAATTTTAGATTATGAGCTTATCAAAAGTTATCTAGAAAATGATGAAAATGAATTAGTGTCTGAGTAATGAGACAATAGTTATGCCAAATATGTAGACAATAATGCCACGAGGAATTGTGATTTCAAATACAATGCCAATGGTCAAATGTGAGAGAGACAGTTTACTCTGCTCTATCCAGAGATTATAAAGTACTTGAGTAGAAGTACAAGTACTGGATAAAGAAATTGACTTGAGTAAAAGTAGAAGAGTTCTTTTAACACCAGACTTAACCCTTTAAAGCCTGATCCAAGAATAAAACAAAACAGAAAATTACTTTTTTTTTTTTGTTTGAATTCCTTATTTGGTCTTTTAACAAAATATGTAAAAAGAAAAAACATTTTTATTATCAATAATTTATTACTATGTGATAAATCCAGATTATTTTTGTGTGGTCTTCTGCCCCCTGTTATCAGGTGTATCTGATTGTGTACAATAGGATTTAGAACAAAGTTTTTACCATTAAATTATGCAAAAGGAGTCAGACGCAAAACATTTCAGAAACCGTATGAATCAGATATGACACATTTGGTATTACAGGGTTAAGTATTGCAAGTAGAAGTATTTCAAAAATTGCTAAACTATCGAAAGTACAAGTATAAGTAAAAGTACAAGTACTGTGTATATTAAAAAAGGCAGTCAAAAGTGTGATAGATATTGTTTATATTATTTCAAACGTGTGAGAGGCCATACAACTACAAAGCGTCCCTGGAGAATAATGAAATGCATCCCATTTCCCTAATGTGTCATTGTTATACAATTTTAGATTATAAGCTTATCAAAAATTATCTAGAAAATGATGAAAATGAATTAGTGTCTGAGTAATGAGACAATAGTTATGCCAAATATGTAGACAATAATGCCACGAGGAATTGTGATTTCAAATACAATGCCAATGGTCAAATGTGAGAGAGACAGTTTACTCTGCTCTATCCAGAGATGTATAAAGTACTGGAGTAGAAGTACAAGTACTGGATAAAAAACTTGACTTGAGTAAAAGTTGAAGAGTTCTTTTAACACCAGACTCAACCTTTTAAAGCCTGATCCAAGAATAAAACAAAACAGAAAATTCCTTTTTTTTTTGTTTGAATTCCTTATTTGATCTTTTAACAAAATATGTAAAAAGAAAAAACACTTTTAATATTAATAATTCATTACTATGCGATAAGTCCAGATTATTTTTTGTGTAGTCTTCTGCCCCCTGTTATCAGGTGTATCTGATTGTGTTCAATAGGATTTTGAGCAAAGTTTTTACCATTAAATTATGAAAAAGGAGTCAGACGTAAAACATTTCAGAAACCGTATCAGATATGACACATTTGGCATTACTGGGTTAAGTATTGCAAGTAGAAGTATTTAAAAAATTGCTAAACTATTGAAAGTACAAGTATAAGTATAAGTACAAGTACTGTGTATATTAAAGAAGGCAGTCAAAAGTGTGATAGATATTGTTTATATTACTTTAGACGTGTGAAAGGCCATACAGGTGTTCACAAAAACAGAAAATAAAACCCAAATAAAACATCTTAAAGGCCAGAGGGGCGAGTTAAGCCCAGTGGTCAGAGATGTATAAAGTACTGGAGTAGAAGTACAAGTACTATATAAAAAAATTGACTTGAGTAAAAGTTGAAGAGTTCTTTTAACACCATACTTAACCCTTTAAAGCCTGATCCAAGAATAAAACAAGACAGAAAATTTCTTTTCTTTTTGGTTTGAATTCCTTATTTGGTCTTTTAACAAAATATGTAAAAAGAAAAAACAGAAATACATTTTTGATATTAATAATTTATTACTATGCGATAAGTCCAGATTATTTTTGTGTATCTTCTGCCCCCTGTTATCAGGTGTATCTGATTGTGTACAATAGGATTTTGAGCAAAGTTTTTACCATTAAATTATGCAAAAGGAGTCAGACGCAAAACATTTCAGAAACCGTATCAGATATGACACATTTGGCATTACAGGGTTAAGTGGAAGTACGGAAGTCCTCAATTTTTTGTACTTAAGCATTGCAAGTAGAATATTACATACACTGTACTTAATCTGTATTTTTTGTATTTTTATTTATTTATTTATTTATTTATTTATTTATTTTATTTATTTATTTTTTTGCTTAATTTAATTCTAACTTAATACTTTTTGCCCTTTAAGCAGCTGGTAACCTTAATTTCCTGAGGGAGTCTTCCCAAGGGATCAATAAAGTACTGTCTAAGTCTAAGTTTAAGTATTTCAAAAATTGCTAAACTATCGAAAGTACAAGTATAGGTAAAAGTAAAAGTACTGTGTGTATTTAAAAAAGGCAGTCAAATGTTTATATTATTTCAAACGTGTGAAAGTCCATACAGGTGTTTACAAAAAAAAAAAAAAAAAATAAACCAAAGGGTTACATTTAGCATTTTTTCTGATTCACCATCAAATCCTCGGACTCAAGTTGCCAAAATCTCTGTGACGTTTTTTT